AGCTGGAAGGGATCATACAGGGAAATAAGCCAGAAGGAAAAAGAAAAATACCAGATGGTCTCACTCATAGCTGGAATCTAGAAAACCTAAATAAGGGACCAGGAAAAAGAATAACTATAATAAAGAAAAAATCAAAATCAACAAGCAACTATAAACCAGAGACACACTATGGGGGGGGCAGAGGAGGGATTGGGGTCAAAATAAGGGGGGTGCAATTGTATGGGGAATATAAAAAAATCTTTTAAAAAAGAATAATAAAATAATACTTGATATATAGTAAATTCTAAAAAAAATAAAATAAAATAAATATGTTTTAATGTCAACCTAAGGATAATAAAAACATCTCAGTGACATAGGTCCTGGACCCAGTTCATTAGCACATGCCTTACCACGAGCCTATGTGAATGAGGGCAAGAGGACTCCTCACCCAGTGGAATATTTGCTGAAACATATAATATGCTTCCAAAAAAACCTGGCATTTTAATTGAAGATTTGCTCTTACTCTCTGACTTTTCTGACGAGACAGTTGATGAACTAACAAGCCACTAGGAAAAAGCAATGTGAGCAAGGACAGTTTTCTCCCTTCTGTGTCAATGATTTTTTTTTTTTTTAAATATTTTTCTTGGTATTTCACTGCTGATTTAAATCTTTGGATTTTAAAAATCAGAAGAGCTATGCTTTCAAAGTGACCCTTAAAAAAGTTTATGGAACAAATGTCAGGGTTTTTGCTTCCCATTTAACTTAATTTTAGTTGCTCTTTTATTCATTTTATGACATAAATTGTTTCTTGAGATAACGTTGCCTGAGATGTTATCAGTAGCCTCATCCAGATGTAAAAAACATAACCTTTTTAACTAGAATTTTAAAATACTTTGTGTGGGGATTATTTAGACATTTGACATTTCTTGACGCAATCACATTGTGTCTACCAGCTGATATGCAGTAACTAGAAGAATGGAGCATTTCTTCCTGACAGGAAGTGGGGAGATAGGACTTGGTGACACTTAGAGGTCAGGCCATGGTTCAGTAAGTCTAGATGCACACTTACCAGATTGACGCTTGTTTTATAGGTTCGGAGAAGAGTATTGAGCACAGACTAGTGCTTGGTACAACAGGTTACCTATGTAAGATCTTGCCCACCACCATCTTATTAGGGCTTCCAGCACTTTCCATGTTCTAAGATACATAAAGCCTTTATACAGTATTATCGGCATAAGATTCTTATCTGTGCAAGTAATGCTAAGTAAGTTTTTCTTCTCCACTTTGTTCTTTCTCTTTATATTTGCCACAGGGCTCATAGGTGTGGTTTAGAACCCATCGCTCTTGGCCCTCTGTGCTCAGCAGAGGAAGTCAGAGATTTTCTGATGTAAGCATGTCTACACAAGGATGGGAAGCTACTGAGTCCTACATCTCTGGTGGCATGTGGATATAAAATGGCACTCCTCTCTACTCAGCAGGTTGTCCTTATCCCATAGCAAATGGAAGAAGTGGTTCCTATAAGGTTGGCCTGGACTATGAGGACACTTTTTTTTTAAAGATTTATTTTATTTATTTATGCATACAAGAACTGGGGTACAGGCCAGAGGTGCAGAGGATTCACCAGAGACAGTGGAGAACAGAATAGGCAAACTGAAATACACTGCTGAGGGGAGCAGCAGGCAAGACAGGAGAGGTCTGCTGAGCCATGTGGGTTGCTCCCTGGCCAGCAGGGGATGGAACTCGTGCTGCAGAGCCTGCGGATAGCTTCACAGTGCTGTGCTTAACCCCTTGCGCCACCAGGGAGGCCCCCCTATGAGGACACTTTAAACAGGAATTATATGAACTGCAGCTTCTTTGGAATCGCAGAACTATCACAGGCCCTGGTAGACCCCCATGCTAAGTCTTCCCTTGAATTCATTCTGGATGTAAGACGTACCAGCGGGAGGCACACACCTGACCAGCTGAGTTGTTTATAGATGCCCTGCCTCTCTCCCACTTCCATTGTTTCCCCAGGAGCCAGCTGATAGGAACCACCTGGTGGTGGTGGGAGGGGAGGGGCACTTGTGAAGCACAGAGATCCCCAGGCTTCTCTCTGGAGACACTGATTAAGGAATTCTGGAACTGCCATCTGGAAACAGTGTGCTTAGCAAGTGTGCCAGGTGACTCCTATGAACAGGCGAGTTCGGCGAACACCAGGAAGACTTGAAGGCTCTGCAGGTCGCTATGGCAGTCACTCAAGGAGAGAGGAGATGGAAGTTTGGCAGATGCCAGAGCCTCATTCGGGGGTGATGACTAAGGTATTTGCTCACCTGCCCATCCCCAAGATGGGACAAGTATGCCCACAGAGGATCCTGCAATGCAGCAAGGAGTGGGGTGGGCCGAGGCCTAGAGGGTGCTCACCCAAGGCACCTCCTGTTGCCCAACTCCCCCTTATCCCCCAGAGTTTGGGCAACACAAAGCTCACCATCTGTCACTGTGGGGGTCCTTCTTCATCCAGGGGACACCTGACTGTAGAGGCAGGAATGGGCACAGTGTAGGTTCTCTATGATCCGAGCAGACGAGGTTAAGTAGGAGAGAGTCCTGGAGCCCTCAATGGCTTTTGCAGGCTTTTATTAGGATTTACCAGGTACACGGCAGGCAGGAGTACTGGGGGGCCAGGAGGCTGGCAGGCCTCTCAGCCCCCAGCAAGTCTTCATACTTTCTGGGCTCTCTGGCATTCTCTCGCGTTCTCTCTGCTTCTCTGCTCTCATGGATCTCTTGTGGTTCTTCTCTCTGCTCTCCTGGTGTTCCCATGACACCACCCTCATAAGCCCAGTCTCTCAGCACAGGTGTATCCACTTACGCATGCCCACACCCATTTGAGGTGCCCGCCATCAGGCATGCATTCAGGACCACAGGGACCCATCATCCATCCTAATGGCAGGAGAGCAGAAAAGCCTGATACTTTACTTTACCCTACACTGACCTAGATCCAAGGAAGTAAGTGCCCTGGGAAGCCTTTCTTGTAAAGGGAGCTTAAACTTTTAGGCCATTTTGCTAAACCTTGGGAGACACTTGAATGTTGTAGACCTGGCGGTTTTTAAGATTGTTCAATTCTGGCATCTGAGAAAGTTCAAAGGAAAATGCCTGGTTGTCCCTAAGTAATCTTCAAGTTCAGTTGCTAATAGTTGAATTTCTTGCTCTTTTCTCTGACTCTCTATATTTATGCACACACACACTCCTTTTTCCTGTTTTTTCTGTCTGGAAGGGGGAGGTGTGGGGGGACATGCACCAAGGGAAAACGTGGGTGGTAGGAAAAGTATTTTGCTTTTTCATTACATCTCATTTTTGAGCAACAGTGGAGAAACAAACACTTGAATATTCACGTAATCAAAGTTTACCTTTCTGTATTAGTGCAGAGTTCCCCAGAGTCAGAGCCTGAAACAGCATGTGTGTACAAGTAGTTTATCTGGCATGGGACATCTTTAGGCAAGAAAATGATAGGGGATGGGATAGTAACCACTCAGTGTGACTGGAGCTTAACACAGGGAAAATTTGGGAGACTCAGTAAAAGATCTACTCAGCAGGCGAAGGAACTGATATATTTAGACACCAACCTCTGAGGGTTATTTATTAAGTGCTGCTCCCAGGATGGGGGATATCAATCCCTTAGTGCCTTTGGATGGCTGAGCAAGATCACATTCAGAAAGCAGCCTTCCTCTGGTTTCAGAAGAAATCCTCAGTGCACATGCAGACACTTGGAAGTCAGCCAGGAGATAATGAATCAGTACTGTCCAAGGATGTGAGCAGGGTGCTGGCTGCATCTGCTGCCTTTATTAATTAACTCCAAGCTCACTTTTGCCCTCCTGAAATTTTTCATACAGTATATGCAAATAAGTGAATCCTCCCTTTGTGCTGAAGCAACATCATAAAGAGCACTAATTACTTTACCTTCTCTGTTCTAGTGGCTATTGAGGTGGTAGAAGGGTTTGCTTTCAACCATGGGGCTGTGAGTCCCTCAAAACATTTTGAGCTCTTGTGTCTGCTTTTTGTAGTTCTGTCTCTTCCCTCTTACCTGTGGGCTTAGCAGCGAGGTGACTTCAGCAGCACATTCCTTCTCAACTACTGGTGCTGGTCTGCTGGGAGCTGGGAAGCAGATATAATTAAGCTTGTGGAATTGTGATCAAAAAAGGAAAAAATGATGGCAGTATGGCCCAAGGCTGTCCATGGTGAGTGTTCTAAAGAGGTTTTGTGTCATCTGGATCCCTGGAAGCCTTTTCCTTGCAACTCGGCTGATGGTTAGGCTGTTGAATAAGTGACTGAGACAAATGTGTAGGGTCTCACTTTTCATGTGACCAAAGGGATTCTTCTAAGATGTGCATTTGCCTTCTTCACTGAGCCACAGGAAGAGGAGCCTCCATTCATCATCACTATGAAGATGTACAAAGGATCCAGAGGGTTATGTGAAGAGAGACTGGTTTTATGAAAGGCAAAGTAGCAAGTACACACTTAAGTTATGAAGATATGTCTTAGAGAACCACTAGAACATGGTGTGATGTGACTGTGGACTCCTGGGAAGTTATAGAAACAGAAAAACTTATTTAAGTGAGACGTAGACTCTCAAACTGTTTATTTAAAATAAGGATTTTCGCAGAGTCATAGATTTCTATTATCTTCAATCACGTGGAAGGAAATAGGCATGTCAAAAAGACCAACCTCATTGGCCTTATTTGGCAAGTAATTTTACAAGCATCTTTAGACCATTCAGGAAAACAGAGGTGTCAATTATAACACCTCTGGTAATGGTATTATATACCATTAGCTGGGTAGCAAATTATCAAGTAAGGTAACCCATTACAAACTTCTATTTAGAGATTAAGGATTTCTTTCATAGGTCTTGAAATTCTTCTAAAGTCAGGGTATTTCAGAAGATTCCCTTGTTCAAATAATACATCCAGACACAAATTGATAATAGTTATAATTAGTCCCTAAGTGTCTACATTGAACAGAAGAGCAAGCTTGATTCTGGGTAAATAGTTTCAGTTTGCCATTTTATTGGATAACATTCTTGGAATTATTTGAAAATACACAATTGGTGTCTCTTCCTCTCAGCTGTGGAGAAGAGATTATATCATCTTGTTCTTTTCTTTCTTAGACTTTTTAGTTTTGGTCCGATGGTTACTTAAGTAGACTTGAACTTTTAAAGTTTAGGCTGCAAAAGATCATTAGATTAATTTATAAGAAAGAACAAGTCAAAGGAACTCAAATTTTATTAGAAGAAATTGAGAAAGAGCAGAAGATTTTACTTCGCAATAATGAAATGAATGTTCTCCTGCAGAGTTGAGGTTGTTACTTTGTTTTGGAAAAAAGTCATCAATTCTATTGAAGGTGAAGAGTCAAAACTGCAGCTCAGCCACTAGGCCCACGTCTGCCTGCTCTGAGGACAGGGTGGAAGATATTACTAGTTCACAGACAGCCTGAGTCCTGTCTGCTTTAGTCTCCCTACAGCTCATCGTCCATGGCAACTTCTTTCAACAGGGAAGACAGGTCTTCCTACAGTAGGTGGCCTGTTTAGAAATCTAGGGAGATTTTCTAAAATCAAAACTAAGAGAGGGCCTCTCTGGTGGTACAAGGAGTTAAGACACAGCACTATGAGGCTACCTGCAGCCACTGCAGCATGAGTTCTATCCCTGGCCAGGGAGGTGACCCACGTGGTGTAGCAGACCTCTCCTAATTTGCGCGCTGCTCCCCTCAGCAGTGTATTTCAGTCAATCTGCCTATTCTGTTCCCCACTCTGTCTCTGGTGAATCCTCTCACCCCCCACACCTCTGGCCTGTACCACAGTCCTTATATGCATAAATAAATAAATCTTTAAAAAAATGAAGAGAAGTGCAAAAAATGCCATCCCACAGCAAATCCAAATAGCCCCCAGAGCATGTGCAATGCCTTTCATTTGAAAAGAAAGGTCAGAATCATCTTTAGATTCTCTTCACTTAAATTTTATTATACAGAATTACGTTTCCTGTTTTCCAGGTTTACTTATCTGGTTTCCACAGGAAATCCTCCCTTCCTAGTTTATGGCACCAGCAGATTATAGTGGTGATAAATGGTAGATAACACTCTTGTTAACCTTGAAGTCCTGGAGGGATTTCATGAACTGTAAAAAAATAACTACAGGGCCTCCCCGGTGGCGCAGCGGTTGAGCACTGGCTTGCGAAGCTGCCCGCTGCCTATGTGGTGCTGGTTCGATCCCCGGCTGCTCCCCGGCCACCAGAGGAGGGTCCCACATGGCGCGCAGACCTCTCCTGCCGCCCGCTGCTCCCCTCAGCAGTGTACTTCGGTCCTTCTGCCTGCTCTGCTCCCCGCTCTGGCTCTGGTGAATTCTCTCACCCTCCCGCGCTTCTGACTGTACCCAGTGCATGTATAAACAAAACAAACAAACAAAACAAACAAACAAATAAATAAATAAAACATGCCTCTATTAAAAAAAAAAATAACTACATCATGAACTGTGTAGTGATTATTGAGGTGCTTCTTAGTAACACACATTTATAAAGGATATGTAACTATTATGTATTATATATTTATAATTACTTATAATTATTGCATGGAATATAAGTACGTAGTTCATAATTCATTCACTCTTTTTATTTAGTGAGTTTATTTGTTCAGCAAACTAAACCTGCAGGCCAGAACAGAGCAAGACCCTGAGGAGATACAGAAAAAAATAAGACATGATTTTTGTACTTGAAAGCTCAGAAAGACACATGACCACTTTCTCAAAGCATGATAAACGCCACTATAGAGGCAAGTGATAGTTTTCATAGTTGCTCTGAGGCCAAGGAACTTGATTAGATGTCAAGAGTGATAATCCCTTGGCATTTGCACCACCTGGGAAAGGAATAGGTTTTTTAAATGAAAAGAAAAAATAAATGGAATCAGGATCTCTTGTTAGCAGACAGATTGAGGCGTTTGTGGGACTCCCAAACTTACACACTCTAATGGGGTCTGGCCATCAGTGTGCACAAAGAAAAAACAGGCTCAGTGTGAAAGAACTTTATTAGAATAGAGTGCTTGGAGACAGGAGAAGAAATGATAATAGTCTCCCAATGAAATACCCAAAGTTTCCCATCCCCGTGTGGGTAAATGCCCAGTGAAACAGGGTGGACCTAAAGTAGGGCCTCTGAAGCATGAAAGCTTGCCACATGACTAAGGCACCTTCTGGCAGGGAACCATGAGAAAGGGGCTTGAAAGGGGACAAAGGAGCACAATTAAAGCACAGATAAATCAAGATAAAGCTGCCATTGTGCCTCCCCATGTGTCTCCACATCCCCCACCTCTCTGATGCAGGTCCAAAGCTGAGAAGCAAGTGGGCCCTTCTTCTCCATGTGTCTCTCTCCAGTGTCTCCCCTTCCTGTCTCTCAAGCCTCTGTGTGTCTCCCCAAGTGTTCTCCAAGTGCTCTTCTGAGCCCCCCTGCCTCGCCTCTCAGTAGGTGAGACCGAGAACATGGAGCCTCACCTTTTTGTGGAGATGCCTCTGTTACAATCTGAGGATAGAATTTGAGCATCATTATTTAAAAGTTCCTCAACATAGCCATACAATGAAATATTATTCAGTTATGAAAAGAAATGAAGTGCTGATACATGATGTGGATGAAGCTTGAAAACTCTATGCTAAGGGAAAGAAACATACATATTTTGTGATTCCATTTACGTAAAATTCTGGAATAGGTAAATCCATAAAGTCAGAAGGTAGATCAGTGAGGGGGAGAGAGGGTGATAAGAAGTGAATGTTACTGGACATGGGGTTTCTTTTTGAGTTGATGGAAATATTCTAGAATTAGTGGTGATGATTTTATAAGATTATGAGTATAAAAACCACTGAATTATACTTTCAAAATGGACGAATTTTATGTTGTGTGAATTTAATTTTATGATAAAGCTCAAAAGGAAAAAAAAGTCCTCCAAAGGTACCTAATCCACAGCTGTGGTTGAGACCCTCTAATCTAGAGGATCACTAGCATGCTTGGGGGGCAGTAGTGCTGAATTTTCCTTTGCCCTCAGGCCCCAGTATGCCTTTATACAACACAAATGCTGATCTGGACTTTACTTAAAGTCTGATGTTTTGTTCATTTTGATTTTTTTTGCATTACTTTCTATTTTTTACAATAATTCCATCAACAGATTATTTATGATTATTGAATTTCTTAGCACACCCTCATATTTTGCTTATTGATCCCAACCCTGATTTCTAAAGAGAGTAGATCTAGGAAGTCATCCACATATGGGTGAGTTAAAGTATGGACTGATTGAGACTGCACTGGAGAGAACGTCGAGCAGAAAGACAGACATTACCTTTCAAGGACCAGTAGGAGGAAAAAAAAGAATCCATAAAGGAGCCAAAAAAATCAATGAAGAAGGTGGCAAACCAAAGACAGCAATATGATAAAGGCTGAGGCTCCCCTGAAAGTCATCCCAGATAAGACACTGGACTGGGCCAGGGAACATGGGGAGTCACATCCCCAGGACCCCTGGGATGGCGGCGGCTGTGCGGAGAGGGAGAAAAAGAGGTCTCAGCTCCAAGTAACCACTCTGAAGGGAAGGAATGAATGTGCGAGAAAGAGACAAGAGTTGAATTTAAATTATATTTAAGCATAAAAATGCTCTGAGCAGGTTTGTGAAAAGAAAATGAAGATCAGGGAAGGGAAGGGGCTTTGAAGGAGTGAGAAAATCAAGGGGACTGCTGTAGCTTCTGAGGAGGTAAGACAAACACTGAGGAAAATACAGAACGGATCTGAGGAAGCGTGCACTTCCTGCTCCGGCCAGTAAATGCCGGCACAAGCCTTGGCCCTGGAAAATCCCAAGACCTCTGCTACTCTGCTTTCAAAGTTTCTCTCACCACCTCTCTCCCTTTTCTGTGCTCCTCATTCTCAGACCTTTCTAGTTTTATAACCTCTCCCAGGGCCCCATTTTGGCTCAGCTCTCACCTTCAGCCCAGTGGCAGGGTTTAGTAACCTTGAGTACTTGCTCTCCTGGCTTACCTTGAGAAACTCCACCCCACTACACCTCAGTACCAAGGTCCTAATTAGGAAATACCTCATAATCACAGCCTCAGGACTTTCCAGCTCTTGCTGGAATGATGGTGGAAGGGTGGGGCATTTGCTATTGATAAATTTACCCGAAGGCTCCATTTCTCAGTAGAGCCAAAGGCTCTCTAGTCACCTGTCTGCTGAGAGGGTCGGCACAGGAGAGAGACTTTCAGAGAACTTCCAGACTAGGCATCACTGACAAAAATACCTCAAACACTGAGCGGGGGCTGGAAAGCACAGCATTATGAAGCAATCCGCAGCCTCTGCAGCAGGAGTTCAACCCACATGGTGCAGCAGACCTCTCCTGTCCTGCCCGCTGCTCCCCTCAGCAGTGTATTTCAGTCAATCTGCCTGTTCTGCTCCCGGTTCTGTCTCTGGTGGATCCTCTCACCCCCTGACCTCTGCCCTGTACCCCAGCTCTTATATGCATAAATAAATAAAAATCTTAAAAAAAAAAAGAAGGAAAGAAAGAGAGAAGGAAGGGAGGCAGGGAGGGAGGGAGGGAGGGAGGGAGAGAGGAAGGGAGAGAAGGAAACTCCAGTGCAGGAATTTTGGGTCAGATTGGTTTCTGAGTGGGGATTAGCAAGTCTAGGGCCCAGGTGGAACATAGACCAGGTGTGAGGAAATGGAGAGGGTAATAGAGGTAAGTGAAATGGTCAGCATGAAGTCCAAACAAGTAAGAGAAAGGAAAGAAGCAGGAGGGCACTGACAAGCTGGGGAAATGAGCAGGAGAAAAGGGACACAGGTGGTATCTGCAGGGTCAAAGATGGGCAAGTAGGCCTCCCTGATAGTGCAAGGGCGCTATCTGCAGCCACTGCAGCATGAGGATCCCCAGCCAGGAAGCTAACCCACATGCACAGCGGACCTCTCCTGTCTCTCCTGCTGCTCCCCTCAGCAGTGTATTTCAGTAGATCTGCCTGTTCTGCTCACACTCTGTGGTGAATCTGTTACAGAGCAACCCCAATATGAAATGAGTTTCCTGACTGTGGGCCCTCACCCATGTGCTTAAAAGGGACTTATTAATGCTAAACTACAGGCACATACAAAAAGGTTAATAAAGGTTTATTTACAAGGGAAGGGGAAATTAAGAAATGAATAACTCAGGGAGAAAAAGAGGGAGATA